CCTCGACAGGCTCGACCGCGTCTACCTGGGACACACCTGAAGGGGCAGGACCCTGAGGGGGGAGGGGGACTACCGGGGGGGGACCTGGTACCAGGAAGAGCGAGGGTGGGGGGAGGGACGGAGTGCGGTAGGGGAAGAGGCGGTAGTAGGGTACCGACTCGTCGAACGTGACGTCCTGGGAGGACAGAACACGTCGAGAGGTGGGGTGGTAAAACTGCCACCCAGGGGCGTCGGGGGGGAACCCCAGGAAGACGCAGGGAGAAGCACGAGGGGACAGCTTGTCTGCAGACAGGTCGCGAACAAACGCCCGAGATCCCCAGACCCGGAACGCCGACGCATCGCCAACCTTCCCCGTCCACAGCAGGGCTGGGGAGGTCTCCGGTCGAGAGACCCTGGGGTGGAGGTTGATCTGGTGCGCAGCGTACCTGACCGCAAACGGCCACAGAAAATGGGGAGCAGCCGCATGCATCATGGACGTACGAGCGACGTCCATGACCATGCCAATGCGGCGCTCAGCAATCCCATTCTGCTGTGGTGAGTCCGGAAGCGTGAAGGTCTGACGGATGCCTCGCGCACGACAGTAGGCACTCAGGAGGCCAGAGGAGAACTCTCCGCCTCTGTCCGAGTGCAGACGTAAAACAGGGAAGTCAGAGCCAAAGCTCCTCCGAAGCTGGAGACGAGCTGCGCGGATCCAGTCGATCAACACCTCAGTGACCTCACCCTTGCTGCGCAAAGGGAAGAGTGTGGTGTAACGCAAGTAGTCGTCAACAACCAGCAGGAAGTAGCGCTCCTGACCCTGTCCACGGACGCGGGCTGGGCCCCACACGTCCATGTGAAGCGTCTGCAACGGGGCCTCTGTCGGAGGAAACTGGGAGGAGTGAGGGGCAGCACGCTGGCGCCCCTCGACACAGGGGACACAGGTAGGGCCAGGGCCCGGAGGAAGGGGAGGGAGAGACCGGGGAAGACCAGACACAAGGACTCGCGAGGCCATGCCTCCGAGCCGAGGCACAGAGGGGTGGCCAAGGCGGTGGTGCCAAAGGAGGGTCTCGTGAGACAGACGACGACACGAGCAGGGGGCAGACTCAGGACCAGACCTGGACGCTGCAGCAAACACCTGACCAGACGAAGGGACCCTACCAGACTCAGCACCTGGAGGGGAAGCAGTGGTCAGTGTGTACAGGCTCGACCCTGGCCGACGTGTAAACGTAGCCAGGTGGCGACCTGTATCCGCCTCCGTGCAGTGAGTCACCCGCTGACGAGCAGGGGTGAACTGGTGGACACCCGCATCCTGGAGGTCAGCACCACTCACCAAGTTCGTCGAGAACGAGGGGAGGTAGAGACCAGTCAGGGTGCCAGAGGGGGCCGCCGGACACGGGAGGACAGTGGAGAAGCGAGACAGGACAGGCCCCCCAGAGGGGTCAGCCAGGGACACCGCAACCGGCCGACTCAGCGGCGTGAGAGTGGTGCGGTCCCTAAAGAAGGAGCGAGACGCTCCAGAGTCAAGGGTGAAGGTGTGAGAGGCCGAAGCCGACACAGTACCTGAGAGGGCAGACTCACCAGCACCTGAGAGCACAGACGCACTGGCACCTAGAGCAGCAGCCTCACTAGTACCTGACGCGGCAGTACCAATGCCCGGGTCGGGCGGGAAACACCGGTAACAGTCATCCTCATCACTAACCACAGCATACATAGCAGAGAGAATAGCATCAAAATCAAGATCATAAATAGCTACACCAGCCCTAGACAGCTCTCCCCAGCGGGGGATCTCAGCGGCCTCCGGAAACTGCTGACGCCAGGCGTCGGTCAGGCGGCCAAAGCAGCGGCGGGCTGTGTGGGCGCCTCCACACCTCTGCCCTGCACGGTCACCGGTGCGAAGAACGTAGGGGCAGGGACCAAGCGCACCACCACGCTGACGCTGCAAGTACCACTCACGGAGCTGCTGAGGGGCGGGGACGGTGCGAGAGCGCTGCTGCTGCTGTGGCTGCTGCTGCGGCTGCTGCTGCTGCTGTTGCTGGCGCTGACCACCCCCAGAGCTGCTCCGCTGGGACGAGCCACTCCGACCCCCGCCTCCACCGCCACCCCCGCCTCCACCGCCTCCCCCGTCTCCACCGCCACCTCCCCCACCAGGACCGTCGCTCCCACCGCTCCCACCTCCTCCTCCGCTACCACCTCCGCCGCCACCTCCGCCTCCACCGCCGCCACCAGTACCTCCACTCCCGCCACCACCCCCACCGCCACCCCCACTCCCCCCGCCACCCCCACCGCCTCCTCCACCGCCCCCTCTAGCTCCACCCGCTCCCTTGCCCCCCTTGCCCTTGCCAGAGCGGCGTCTGCCGCTGGGGGCAGACGCCGCGCCGACCGACTCAAAACCAGTGAGGTCGGCCGCAGCGGCAGAGGCGACAGAGGGCAGCAGGGGGGAAGGACCACACCCCTCAAAGATGGGGGTGCGAGGGTCACCCCGAGAGGCCCCTACAGCGACAATACTCTTCTCAGCCGCTAGCAGGGACTCCTCAAGGAGGTCGACAGTGAGAGTGGTGGGACAGACAGAGAGAAACTGGTCCCTAACGACACGAAGGGACTCAGGGAGACGGGTGACGAGAAAGTAGAGAGTGATGTACATGGGAGGAGGGTTCGCTGCGCGGAACTCAGCAGGAAGGGCAGCGCGGTAGCGGGTGTCACTAGCACGGAGGTGGGTAACGAGGTCAGCGACAGTGGGAAAGGAAGCGAGGTCAGGGAAGAGAAACGGTAGCATGAGGCGGCTAAGGGTAGCGGAGGAAGGGGAGGAGTAGCGTGCAACTACAGCGTCGTACAAGGCCTGAGCGGTCTTGCACTGACTAAAGTGGGCACGCTCAGAGGAAGGGAGGTGGCGACGCACAGCAAGACGTGCAGCAGCATCGCGGGTCGCCCACTTGGAGCGAACGGCAGAGTCAGCATCAGCAGGAGGGGCAGGGACAGCGCCAGAGACAAAGTCAAAGAGAGAGACCTCATCTATCGCATCACACAGTAAGTACAGCTGCAGGTCTTCAATCCAGACGGCAAAGTCAATGGCCCTCCCCTCAGCGTCAAAAGTAAGAACATTGGGGGTGGCCATGGCAGCAGCTGAAAGTCTCACCGGGCTGGGAGAGTCGGGTAGGTCAGCAGCAGAGGAACACAGCTCAGAAACAGCAGCACGGCTCCTCAGGCGGCTCGGGCGGCTCGGGCGGCTCGGGCGGCTCGGGCGGCTCGGGCGGCTCGGGCGGCTCGGGCGGCTCGGGCGGCTCGGGCGGCGGCTCGGCTGCAGCTCAGCGGCAGCTCGGCGGCGGCTCGGGCGGCGGCTCAGGTGGCCCGGGCGGCGGCTCAGGCGGCGGCGGCTCGGCGGCGGCGCAGGTGGCGGCGGCTAGGCGGCAGCGGCGGCGGCCCGGCTGCTGGTGGGCGGCTCGGCTGCTGCTGGGCGGCTCGGCGGGGCCGCGTAGCAGAGGGCGGCGGTGCCGCGTAGCAGAGGGTGGCGGGGCCGCGTAGCAGAGGGCGGCGGGGCCGCGATCGAAGGGCGGCGGGGCCGCGACCGAAGAGGGCGGCGGGGCCGCGTAGCAGAGGGCGGCGGGGCCGCGTAGCAGAGGGCGGCGAGGCCGCGTAGCAGAGGGCGGCGGGGCAGCGATCGAAGGGCGGCGGGGCCGCGTAGCAGAGGGCGGCAGAGCCGCGCAGTGGAGGGCGGCGGGGCCGCGTAGCAGAGGGCGGCGGGGCCGCGTAGCAGAGGGCGGCGGGGCCGCGTAGCAGAGGGCGGCGGGGCCGCGTAGCAGAGGGCGGCGGGGCCGCGTAGCAGAGGGCGGCGGGGCCGCGTAGCAGAGGGCGGCGGGGCCGCGTAGCAGAGGGCGGCGGGGCCGCGATCGAAGGGCGGCGGGGCCGCTAGGGAAGGGCGGCGGAGCCGCTAGGGGAAGGGCGGCGCAACGGGCCGCTAGGGGCGACACGACGGGTCGCTAAAAAAAAACGCGCCTCGGGGCGCGGTTCGGTGGGCCCTAGAAGCAGTCCCTAGGAGGGAACCTGCTCTGATTCCATGTGAAATCAAAGAACGAGAATGGATGAACTACGAATGAAGTGAGTACAAATATGAAACCCTAATTGGGTTGTACCCCCTATGGGATACCCCACTATAGCCTACACAAATAAGTAAGCTATAATGTTCTGACAGCGCGTACTCGTTTGAGAAACACATGATTAGTGAAATGCCGACGACAGGCTTACCAGAAAACTCACGGAATGTCGTCGTGATTGTAAGGAGAGTGGCGCGGGAAGAATTCCGTCTAGAGATGTCGCGAATCATTAGCGACGGGATTGAAGGCAGCTACGCCGAAGAACGCGGGACAAGAACCCGCAGAGATAAGAGGATCATGATCCGCGTGTGCGGTTGAAACGCTATGATACCATGTCAGATTTAGAGCTTAGAATGGATACATTAGTAATGAGCTCGAAGCTTGTTAAGTACATCTTCGAAGGGCAAGGAAGAGATGGGAAGGGAATCGGGGGCAATCTCTAGGGAATGGGGGTAATCCCAAGGCAATCTCCAAATGGTGGGTTGGAGATTGCTTGGAGATCACATTTGGGTTCGGTTGGGATGGAGGTGTACACCCAACCAGACACAAAGTGCAAAATACACTACGCTATGATATAGAAAGCACAAATACAAAGCGTGAGGTTGAGGGCTAACGCTAACATTAGGAACAACAATACAAAGGAGAGCAAACCTGAACCCCTGTTCGACAAGAACGAGTGAGAAAGGAAGCAAAGACAATCCTTAATGACATCAACTGAAATGTCCAGCTGTGAGTTGGAGATTTCAGGTGATCACATTTCAATGAGGTAAGGATTTTATGAACACCCTACCCAAAAAATCTACAGATACAGTGAACTAGGATATATGACGAGTGCAAGTAAAAAAGTAAGATTGTTGTCCATCTCTAACAATGTACCTCAACAAAACATGCAGGTGCTGTGGGGATCTCTCCTCCAACACGCCCCCTCTCCAGATGGACCACTGTGGTCGTTCCCCATATCACCTCCACTGCCATGTATATTTTGCAACTGAGTAGGGATTACAAGGGACAAAGCACGAAGATTTAAAAACCTTCCAACCTGCCCTCATTGCGTGCACATAAAAGAGAGAACGCTTAAAAACATGTACTCTTCGGTTCGCTATCTACACATATTAGAAGAGGCCTCTCCCTATGACCCTAGAGAGGAATTTAAGTGTGTAAAAGACAACCCAAGGAGGAGGAAGAGGAGGAGGAGGAGGAGGAGGAGGAGGAGGAGGAGGAGGAGGAGGAGGAGAAGGAGGAGGAGGAGGAGGAGGAGGAGGAGGAGGGGTGCGAGGGGGGCGAGGGGGGCGAGGGGGGCGAGGGAAGCGAGGGAGGCGAGGGGGGCGAGGGGGGCGAGGGGAGCGAGGGGGGCGAGGGGGGCGAGGGGGGGGAGGGGGGGAGGGGTGGGAGGAGGATGGGGAGGGGAGGGGAGGGGAGGGGAGAGGGGGGAAGGGGGGAGAGGAGGGGGAGGAGGCGGGGGAGGAGGGGTAGGGGGGAAGGGGGGGAAAGGGGGATGAGGGGGGTGATGGGGGTGAAAGGGGGGAGAGTGGGGGGAGAGGGGTGAGTGGGGAGAGGGGGGGGGAGTGGGAGGAGGGGGGGAGTGGGGGGAGGGGGGTTTAAAAAAAGGAAAGTTGGAGATAAATCATGAATTCCAGCTTTCAATTGGCACCCTTGTAAAAATTGCCACTGCGAGGTTTGCATCGACCGTGGCTCGAGGCTAACCAGCCCAGTTTGACTTTCGACAAGCCCGCGAAAGTTGAGCCTTGCCAGCTTGCCGGGCCGTGTGAAAATGAACGAGGATGAATGCACTATGAAAGAGTTGGGTACAAGTACTAACCCTAATTGGGTTGTACCCCATATAGGCTACCCCACTACAGCCTACAGAAAAGCATAAGCTATAATGTTCCGACACACCCCCATAGGCAAAGTGGGGGAGTACAAGGGGTCACAAGACCAGTCAAGCAAAGTAAAGCAAAGCAAGCTCAGGGTGGATCACAAAGTCACCACACATTCCGAGCACAAGGTCAAGGCCACAAGGCCAGTTCACATGCAGGAGTACATATATATATAAAAGGCTAGACAAGCAAGAGCAGGTGTATATATATATGTAACAGTACAAGCAAGGTCAAGAGGTGAGCAAGTGAGGCAAGGCAGGCACAAGACCCAGCTGAGTACAGAAGCGCTGATGATCACAAGGCGCAAGCGCCTTGGTGAAGATATCAGCAGTGTTGGCCTCAGAGGCCACGTACGCAAGACGCAGCTGACCACGCTGCTGCAGCTCACAAGCAAGGAAGTAGCGGAGAGCAATGTGCTTCGTTCTGTGCTCCAGTCTATGCTCTCGACACAAGGCCAGCATAGCCTTGTTGTCTACGTACAGGACTGGAGGAGAACGAGGCGGCTCTCCGAGGTCATTCAGCAGGTAGGTGAGCCAGCGAAGCTCGTGTGCAGCCATGGCCCCGGCGTAGATCTCAGCCTCACAACTGGAGCCGAGAACAGAAGACAAGCGGGTAGCCCGCCACGAAACAGAGCCTGAACCAAGGCTGAAGGTGTAACCCTGTGACGACCGCTGCGTAGCCTGGTCGTCAGCCCAAGAAGCGTCTGCGTGCCCAATGAGGACCAGTGGACTCTGCCCTCCAAGCACAAGCCCCATGCCTGACGTACTGCACAAGTAGCGCAACACCCTCTTCGCTGCAGCCATGTGCTCCGGTCTGTGTCTCCCAGGAGCAACATAGCGTGCGAGAATGCTAAGAGGGTATGCAAGGTCAGGTCGAGTGCAGGTCATCAGGTACATGAGGCAGCCAACAAGCTCTGCAAACGGGCCACTCGACTCTACGGACTCATCCGAAGGCAGAGCTGAGAGCGAGTGGCGAGTAGGCAGAGGAGTGGCCTGAGGCGAGGAGTACGTGAAGCCAAAGCGCTGAAGGACCTGCTGCACCATGTGTGACTGAGTCAGGGTAATGGTGCGGCGTGCTCTGTCCCGGGTGATCTGCAAGCCAAGGTAGCTGCACAGTGCCAAACGAAGGTGTCTCGGGTGACAGGCCGAACCCGATTTGGCCCAACCTAGGGCGACCGACCAACATGTTCTGAGATCTGGGATCTTCGGTCCGAGCAGGGTATGACCGCTTGCTTATGCCAAACGCAGAGGTAAAAAATGGCAGCACGTTTGTAGCTGGGGGTGGATGATTCAGCAATACATATTGTGGACAATATTTAGCTTAGCGGTCGCAATATGTGCCAGAATCGCAATTCGTGAACTTAAGCTGGTAGAAACGAATGCGAATACGAAAAAAATTCTCGAGATATTTTCCGAATACTGTGTTGTTTCCTATTTGAGTGATTACTGACCCAGAACAGAATTCGAATGCAATTTAATTACTGACCCAAAACCGAATATGAATACGATTGGATTCATTTGTATTTTACAGGTAGTGTCGAATGGGTAATGCATGTTTGACATAGGGTGATACAATGTACTTTCAACACCACGAATCAATCATGCACCACGCGCTTTCCCTAACCCCCCTCTCCAGCAACTATCTTGCTCGACTTTCGGGCATGGCTCTCAGGAGGCAGCTTGTACACGGACTACCAAAGATTTTAACCGCATCTTTATTTGGCTGTATTGTCGACAATGAAAAAATAAAGACAAAGAGACACGGGGTTAATGGTAGAATAACAAAAAGTAAGGAATACCCCAAATATTCTACAGCAACGAATTGTTGAATATTTTCGAATAGACAATATGGGGTACAACACTTCTAGGTTTTCCTACTTGTACCCACCTGCTTGCTAGTTCATTCATTCCTCATTTCTTCACAGGAACTTCGCGGATGCAGATCGCGCAGCAGATGAGATGCGCGGGAGTGTCGCGAGGCGCCGGGGGAACGTCGCGGATGCCGATCGCGCAGCAGAGGATGTGTGCGGGAGTGGCGCGAGGCGCCGGGGGAACATCGCGGATGCCGATCGCGTAGCAGAGGAGGTGCGCGGGAGTGGCGCGAGGCGCCGGGAGAATGTCGCGGATGCAGATCGCGCAGCAGAGGAGGTGCGCGGGAATGGCGCGAGGTGCCAGGGGAGCAAGGAAAATGATCGTGCGACAGAGCTGATGCATGGGGAAGATCCTAGGCGACGTGGAAGTGCAGAGGCAACTCGATAGCCAAAAGAGCACTGCAACGCAGGCAAGCGTAGTCATGTACCGGCAGGAGTGTATCGCTTGCCAGAACCACGGCGAGAAGATGAGAGGAGGAGGCGTATGGAGAAAAATCGACAGGAGGTGCGTCGTTGGGGTGCACTGTCGCGACGAAAGCTTGAGGAGGAGAGGCAGCGCGGGAGTGCCAGGAGAAGCTTGTCGCCGCATGAAAGAGAAGAGGAGGCCAGAGTACGCCACATGGGGAGAGAGGACCACCAAGGCGGAAACACCTGGGTGGGGAAGGTACCTGATGGGGAAACCAGAGGGAAGACGGAAAGGAAGAAGCTAAGAAAGAGGGATTTGGAGCAGCGCAGGCGATGGGAGAGATCGCCAGAGAAGGAGACAGAGAGTGAAGAAGAAGAGGAAGGGTACGCTCAAACATGGTACCAAAACGATAAGCAGAAGAGATGGGCAGAGGGGTGCTCTGCGGGAAGGGGGGAAGAATACAAAGGAGGGCAAGAGAGGCGGAGAGCAAAATGCGAAAAGCAGGCGAGAAAGAGGAGCCCGAGCCCAGAGTGGTGTAAGAAGCATTCAACAGAATGGAAGGGAGCAAGTGAAGCAAGGGCGGCCAGAGAAGACATCGACCGTGTGCAGTATGGGACGTGGATGAGGGACGGGGAGACAGGGAGGGTTCCCGAAGAGGTGAAGGGGAGGCAAGAAGAAAGGGGAAGACGGGATCAGGAGCACCGAGGCCGGGAAGAGCGTGGAGATTCCAAGGAAAGAGATGGGTGGCACTCACCAGAAAGAGAGAAGGAGCGCGAGGAGGGATGCACCGGGGAAGGTGGATGGCGATCACCGGCTGCCTTGAGGGTAGATGAGAGAGGGAGAGGGGACCCACGGCAACGAGAAATAGGGGAGCGAGATACGCGATATCAGAAATACTCGCCTGAGAGGAGGGAAAGGCGATGGGGGGAAGGGGAAAGGTGATGGGGGGAAGCAGAAAGGCGAAGGGAGGCTCATAAGGGGGAGAGAGGAAGGAGTCCGAGTCCAGGGGGCCCGAGGAGGCCATGGCAGGCAGGGGAAGGATCAAGGGGAGCCAGAGCGGCCAGAGAGGGGATAGAGTGGGTGCTGTATGGGACAAGCTCTGGCAGCAAGGGAAGTGGGGAGGAGTAATGGGGACGTGGGATTCAGGGAAGTGGGGCATGGTGGCACCACCACGGGTAGAAGTGCCCGTGGGCTTCACAGGGAATGAAGGCACAGGCCCAAGCCTGAAGAACTACTTAATGCACATTAATAACGTAAACATGCGATCGAAGCGGGATGGACCCCATTGATTTTTTCTTGAGCCTGCCAAATACACTGGCTGGGAAAGCAGAGACCTTGTACCGCATGAAGATAAACAAGTGGCTGAGAAGGGCAGAAGAAGATGACGAAGACCCGACGATGCTGTTCCTGGAGCGGCTGCGGAAGCAGTTCCCAAGACACACCGCAGAGCGCATCAAGGAATTTCAGGATTTCAAGCACAGAAACGAGGAGTCACTGCTGACGTACTACGGGAGGTTAATGAACTTAGCGGAAGATGTGGTGTGCACCGACAGAAGCATGCTCATCAGCAAATTTCTGAATGGACTGGACAAGGGGCTGGTAGGAGGGCTGAGAATGAGGGTCTACGAGCTGGGAGCGGACACAACACCAGAGGAGGTGTTTGAGTTAGCGGAGAGGCAGGAGCTGGCGCCGAGGAAGTACGAGGTGTATCTGCCAAGGACAGCGGAAAGGAAGAATTCCACTTGGGCAGCCGCAATGTTACCGGAAACAGGAGCAAGGGAGGAAAGCCGACGGGAGAGAAGGACAGACTCGAGGACGTGCTACAGGTGTGGACAGCCGGGACATGTGAAGATGAATTGCAAGAACTGCGACGTGTGTGGTTGGTAAGCCAGGGCACCACCGCAGGGAGTGCCCAGATGCGCCAACCTGTGAGGAATGTGGGAAGCGGGGGCATGAGGCAGAGGAGTGCTACCAAAGTGTAGGTGGGCCAAAGAGATCACCCGAGGAGATTAAGGTCAAGATTGGAAAGTTACAAGCTCAACTGCAGGCGCTGAGAGGTAGAACAGAGAGAGAGTCGGGGTTGTACGCGGGGGAGGAAAAGGAGGAGGAAGAGGAGCAGGAGCCAGAGCACTCCTGTGCGGTGCTGAGTAGCCAAGAAGACATGGGGCCCTACGCAGTGGGGGGAGGGACGGACCAAGGGAGCAAGTGAGTAAGGTGGGGGCATGGGCGTGTGTGCAAATAACACCAGCAACAGAAGAGATGGATGAGAAGGCAGGGGCATGGGCAGGTAAACCAGTAGCAGCAGGCACGGAAGGGAAGGACGACAAGGTGAGTTCACGGGCAGCAGCAAAAAGGGGAGAGAAGGAGACGGAGGGAGCAGGAGCGTGTGTACC